TAACTGGAGGAAGACGAGAGTTTCATTCACATGGTTATTAACTTTGGACTTTTCGATCCTTCTTCTCGAATTGCTTGTTGTTTTGTTTGTTTGAGGACAAACAAAGAGTTAAGTGTGGGGGAGTTGTTTGTACAATTTTTGTTGCATTTTTCCTTATTGTTTTGTTCTTCGTTTTCCCTCATTTTAGGACTTTTTATTGGTTTTTATTCATTTTTTTGGTTTATTATGTGTTTTGATCTATTTTGGTTTTTATGTGTTTTTCGTGTATTTTTCCCGTTTTCTTCTTGTTTTTGGTGTGCAGGTCGAAAACACCTTGAGGATTGGATTAAGCTCGGAAATTGACCATTCAAGAACAACTAACAAGATAAGTTAGTTGGCAACAAGTGAGAAAAAACAGAATTCGATTCCGAGTTCGGATAAATCCAAACGGGGCCGAAACGTAAAGTTGAGAAAGTTACCGACCTTTTAAAGGTTGGAAATTCCACAAAGTTTGTATTCTGGGAAAAAAGTGTGGTTTGCAAGCATCATTGGATAGAGGGGTTCATTAGCGACGCGTAGGAAAAAACGGAACTCAAATCCGAGTCCAAACGAGCCCGAACGAGCGAAAACCGTGATGACATGCAAGGCTGCCGACACCTTAGCGTTGCTAACCCCCTTAGCGGCGCTAACCTGCCAGTTCTGCCAACTTATGATTTTTTTTAGCTCATTTTAGTAATGGTTGGTACCCAATCTCTTCAATGGCGTGGAACATAATACAAGGGGTCATCTCCAGATATTATACTCATCAAACTTCAGCTAGAAGGGGGATTATTTTGGCTATAAAAGGGGAGCATTTCCAAGCTTAAAGATCATCCCATTTTCATCCCATTTACTTCCATTCTTACAACACTTTTCTTGAGTTTTTCATATTGTTCTTCTTGTTATTATTTTTCCTTGAAGTTTATCTTCATGCATGTTCATATATGTCGTTAATAAAGAGTGTAAGATTTGTATCTCTTCCGGTTTAAGTTCTCGTGATGTATTAACACTTCAATAATAATCATAAGTCTTCATTATCTTTTCTTAAGTATAATGATGGCTTGGGTTAGTATTGATGTTTTGGTTTTTATTATCATGAGTAACTAAACAATATTGTTAGGGAATGATTGTTTTGGTTCGATGATGATGACATGTTATTGATTGTTCATATCGTTTCGAGTTGTGCTTATTTTTATGATTTAGTTGATTAAACACCTTCTAAATCTACTTAATTGATTTTTAAACCGAGAGGGGCGAAGTTGATTGATCTCTGCTTGAAACGAGTAAGCTTGTTCATAACTGTATTGCTTATGTATTATTTGGTACGAAAATATATTAATTTACGTTTATATTCTTGTTACGAAAAGTTATAGAATATAAACCTCTAAGTTAATGTGTTTATCGAATCATTTAATTGAACAATTAATAATTTGAATTTATCATTAGAATTGAAAACAATTATTTTTCAATTCCCTAACACTTTTATCATCTTTATATTTTTATTAGCTTTAAGATTTTTATAATTATTGAATTTATAATTTTATGTTTATTAGTTAAATTAATAAAATTAGTAGATATTAAAACTCCACCTGAAAATGATTAGAATGTTTAGGAAATCGTTTTGTTTATTTTTCGTAATGAAATAAGTACATAATTTAATCCGGTTGAATCTTCCTTGAGATCGACTCGGGAAACGAATTTTTAATTCGATGCTCGATAAAAACATATAAATTAAATTTGCTACAACAGGGAACAACATTCATGAAAGATCATAAAGGTTTCACATTAAACCTTATAGACCTAATACTAGAACATGTATAAATTATCATAACTTAACATTTTAATTCAGATAATTTATATATTAACATATGATCAACCTAACACATATAGAACACATAATCTAATTGGAGTTTAGCAATATTTACCAAACTCCAAGGGGAGAAGGGCGGATCGGTGCGTTCACAGGCGTGGTTCGGTCCTACAGGCGGGGAACTCGATCGCTTGTGCTCGACGTTCGGTGGCGGCTCGCATGGCAAATGCAACTTTCAGAGGTGGCTCGTGAACGGACGTCGAATTTGCAAAGGTGGTCAGGTGAACTAGAGGCGCGAGACAGCTCGGCGTTCGGGGACGTACGTCGCGTGGCTTCGGCGCGCTTGCGAGGTGCAGCGATTGGTAGCGATTGGTGGATGGCGCGCGTGAGGGTGATTTGGGGATTTTTTCGGCAAGAATATGAGAGGAAAGGTGGGGGAGAGCTTCTGAATTTTTGGGTGTGGAGTAGAAGGAGAGAGAAAGACGAGAAAGTATGACAGTGAGGGAGAGAATGAGAGGAAAATAATGGTGTCTTCCCTTTTTAATGCTAACAAATGTGTAACTTCCCCCCCCCTCCCCCCTCCCTCCCCGTAACTCTTGGTCATGCTCATAATAAAGGATAATGGCTGATAAATGGGGATAGAGTTGTTACAAATTGAATTCAAATTTCAAATTAAGCCATGCATGCGTGGGAAAATTCGGGCAAGGGTCGAGATGGCCACGCGGGCGCGGGATGTGGGACCATGCGACCATTGGCGTGAACGGGGCGCGGGCTGGGCGATGCGCGCGGGTTGAGGCCCGGTGCCTTGGCATGCGTTCGACTAAATCTAAATAATATCCCGACTAGGCTCGAGTACTCAGTTCAATCGATAATTAATATATAATTCAGCTCGATTATAAAAATTTATTTACTAAAACAATTAGACAATTACGAGCATATAATTGAATTAGAAAAATAATCGAGTACGAAAAATATAAATTTGGACAATTAAAAATAAATAAATAATTCTAAGATAATCTGGAACAAATGGAGCGCTACAGGGGCCATTTGGAGATGGTCTCCCTCATCATTTTTGTCTGACTGTTTTGTTTCCTTGCAATGGGAGTCTCTTTAAGCGGAGTGTTTATGATTCAGGATTCATGTGATTACCCTTCTGATCAGGCTTGCTTTCAATAATGGCGAGTGACCTTTTCCCTTTGGTTATCATTTGAGGGTTCTGGTCCTATTTGAGATTTGTGGAAGGTGGGATGTTTCTTTTCCGCCCCTTGCTTTTAGATTTTATAGATGGTCTTGAAGTTGATTCATGTGTTATGTTGGTCTGGATTGGTGGTGGTAATGGTTCAATGTCCATGGCAGCTGGTGTGAAGATACTTATCAAAGGGTCTTTTTGTATTTTATCTTGGGAAGAAGAGGCGATAGTAGTATTGGTTGGTTTGTTTTGGTTTGGTTTGGAGGAGGGATAGACTCAGTATGAGGGTTGATGAGTTGCTGAGGTTGAGAGATGGATTGATGATGGATATAGTATGTGATGGTATTGATTGATTGAGTTTTGTTTAGGTTATCAAGATTTTGTTTTTGGCTGCTTAAAATAGTTATAGGTATGTTTGGGTTTGAAGTTAAAGTTGAGCAGTTTGTGGAAGAGTAACCTTCTAAGACTTTCAACCACTCTCCATAATTTCCTTTTGACAGGGTCTCTTGTGCAATGCATGTTGCTCTCTTTTCACAATTCATATCAAGATGACCCAAGATGCCAGGGTCTCTTGTGCAATGTCTGTTGCTCTCTTTTCACAGTTTCTATCAAGATGACCCAAGATGCCACAATAGTAGCATACCAACTTCTCATATTTGAATTCCACCAATATTCTCTTACTTTCTAGTTGTAGGTTAGCTCGTCTGGAGAGGGGTTTATTAAGGTCTATAGTGACAAGGAGCCTCAAACATTTCCCAGCTAGTACTCCTCATTGGGGTATATGAATGTCCTTAACTTTTTTTAAAAGCCCTGCCCAGTTTCAGTCCAACATCTGTGAAAATTGAGTGAAGAGGGATTTCCTAAGCCTGGATCCAAATATCCATTTCTGAGAAATCCGAATGATTTGGGTGTAGTTCTTCATTCCAATCTTTCAGCACCAAGTACTGACTCTCAAATGTCCAATTATTCCTATTAGCAACTTTTTGTTTGTCACCCAATTAAGCAAAAACAAACTAGAAATAGTTGTGTTCCAATTCTTTGACTATCACACTTGCTCTGATTTGCCAGATATGGGCTAGAGTCCTTTTAGCCCTAGAAGGAGAGCACGTTTGGAACCAATTATCTTTCTAAAAAGGCATCGACTACATTCATCAGAACTTACTTCATTGTCCTCTGGTACAATAGGTATAATCTCTGTTCCTTGTTCGATAAAGTAAATGCTTTTAGCTTGATGGAGATATCTTCTTCCATAGATTGAACAAATGATAAAGGGGTGGTAGAAGATCAAGGGCAACTTGTACAATACAAACCACAATAGATTCGGAATTAAACCAGAAAACCCTAACTAAAAGAAAATAGACAAACAAGAACGAGAAAGGGAGAGAGGATAAACAAGGCTAGCCAATACTAACAAATTAGAAGAGAATCAACGTTTGCAAGGGAGGGAACTGAGCTTCTATGTAGGAAAAATCATACCTCATAGATACAGAATCAGAAAAATTTGACATTAACACCTGTAAGATTATATCTTCAATATATTATTTTTGAATTTCATGCCAAAAAATAAGTCTTTCAATATTCAAAACTATTCTTATACTAATCAGTATTGTTTCATTTCATGATTTTGATATATGCAATTTATAATTATTGCCTCATAAATCAAACACTACATAATACGTAGTTATATATAAGGGCGAAAGGGCCATATACCTCAAAATTCAAACCCACGATTTTCCACTACCACCCCCACCCTTCTAAGTCTGTGTTTCATTTTTTTTTTTTTTTTTTTTTTTTTTTTTTTTTTTTTTTTTTTTTTTTTTTTTTTTTTTTTTTTTTTTTTTGGGTTTAAATTTCACTGCAACCCTTATTTTTATTTTTATTTTTTTGCAATTGCAACCCTTATTTTTCAACTAATGTGGAGTGTGCAATGTGCAATATTTATTTACATTTTTAACGTATTGCGGGATAAGAAGAGTGTTATGAATGAGGGCTACCCTCATTAGAGTCGCTAGCTGCAGCAGTATCCCTTGCGCGCTACGACCACACACTTTTCCGCCGCCGCCTCCATCATTGGCGCATCCACCGCCTTATCGCCTCTTCGCCGCCGCCAGGACTCTCCGGAACATAGCCGTCATGGGTTCTCAGCCGACTGAGACCGAGTGGCCGGCCTCCCGAGTTAGAGAAACCTTCATCAAATTCTTCGAGGGGAAATCCCACGTTAATTTCAGATCGAGTCCCGTTGTTCCCCATAATGATCCAACTCTTCTATTTGCTAATGCTGGTAATTTTTCTTTTCTTCTCATTTCATCCGTCGCTTTGTTTCTTTTTCCTTCATTTATGTTACTGTGATGCAAGTATGCCATGGAGTTCTCCTCTTATAGAAAATCTTTGGGCGTTTTACTGTAATAATAGGCTGCTCAATTTGAAATTTTGAATACTGAACTTGAACGGAGAAGCTTGTATGGTTCCGAAGCGTTGAATTCATAAATGTTTTTTGCGTTTGGTACTAGCTATTTGGTTGTTTGGTTGAGCAGGTATGAATCAGTTCAAACCAATCTTTTTGGGCACTGCCGACCCAAACACTGAGTTGAGCAAACTCAGGCGTGCTTGCAATACTCAAAAGTGTATTCGTGCGGGTGGCAAACACAATGATCTCGATGATGTGGGCAAGGACACGTACCACCATACATTCTTTGAAATGCTTGGGAATTGGTCCTTTGGGGACTATTTCAAGCAAGAGGCCATCGAATATGCGTGGGAGCTTCTAACTAAGGCAATTCCTCGCCTTTTTACTATTTCCAGCAGCTGTGATGGGTTGTGAGGATTATTTTCAGTGTTTTAGGGAGTGCTTTTCTGCTGACTTCATTTAAAATTAGTTTATGCTTGCATTCTCACTTTTCTTTTCACCCATCACAGTCAATAATCAATTCATTCAATAAAAAATCACATCAGTAGTGTTATTGTGCTTTCATCTCACAGAAACATACTCATTTTCTACTAAAAAACATTTGCTGGTTTCTCTTCACACTTTATATCTACATTCCTTTAGGTGTATGGATTGCCTGACGATCGTATTTACGCCACCTACTTTGGTGGTGATGAGAAACTTGGTCTTCCTGCTGATAATGAAGCAAAGGATCATTGGCTCAGATTTCTACCTCCCAGCCGTGTATTGCCTTTTGGCTGTAAGGTATGATGACTTTTCATGTTTCACCAGCTTACCCTATGGAGGTTTTATGCACAAAATAAGATTTATGCTTATCAATTATGATGGACACTCACATTCATGCGCATATGTACTCCTACCATTTGCTTCAGCTTAGCTGGAAAATCCAAGTGATCTCTAATTTCTAGTCATCTCTCTCCCTCTCTCACTCTTTCTTGCTCTGTGTCACTCATTCTTTTCCTTTTCTTTCTCATGTTACTGTTTGAATAGGACAATTTTTGGGAGATGGGGGATACTGGACCTTGTGGACCGTGCACTGAAATTCATTTTGATCGGATTGGTGGCCGTGATGCGGCCTCCTTTGTGAACAATGATGATCCTACAGTGATTGAGATATGGAATCTTGTCTTTATCCAGGTAAATGACTTATTTCTAACCTGTTGTAGTTCATCTGTCTGATTATAGTGTCGATCTCTAAATTTTCTAGATATGCAGTTTAACAGGGAAGCTGATGGTTCATTGAAATCTCTACCTGCAAAACATGTTGATACTGGGATGGGTTTTGAGAGATTGACTTCTATTCTTCAAAATAAGATGAGCAACTATGACACTGATATATTTTTTCCCATCTTCGATTCGATACAACAGGCAAGTATGGTATATTGAGTTCTGCTACATTAAATTTGGGAGCAGAAAGATTCCGGATAATTGTAGAATTATTTGACAAAATTAGAAAAAATAAAATTTGCTCTTGAAAGGATAAAAATAGGTCTAGAAATATGTTTAAGGTACTTGTGTTCTTTTCATCTTTTAGGCAACTGGAGCCCGCCCTTATTCTGGAAAAGTTGGGTCCGATGATGTGGACAATGTTGACATGGCTTACAGGGTCGTGGCTGACCATATTAGAACAATTTCATTTGCCATTGCTGATGGATCTCGGCCAGGTTAAGTACAGAATTTTGTTGCTGTGTTATGAAAATTATGGCAATCAAATTTGATACTCCATGTCCCACTGATATATCATATATATTATTAATTTCTTGAGATAGTTCATCTCTTAATTAATCCCTGCGTGTTAGAAATCAGATGTTGTAACTGTTATACATATGTACTCTAGTCTCCATATTATTCTGGGATTGACAAAATACAGATGCATAGTTATTGATCTATTAGATGGTTTCTAGGTGAGGAGTTCCTTTATTTATCTAGCGTAGATGAAGTTAAACCGTATCCCGATTGTTTTTATAACCATCAACTTTTTGTTTGCTGAACATTTTCTTGTAAGAAGATATCTGTGTTACATTTACTTTGTATCCTTTATGGCAATCCTTGAGTGTTAAAGATTTCTTGGAAGAAGATTTCTTCTGATCGTGATATTTTGCACACCACATGTATCAGCTCCCTTTTGTTTCTTGTTTAAGTAACACATCTTCCTTTGTTTTTCTCGCATCAATGAATCTGAATGTCCTATGCTATATATATTCTAATAATAATAATAATAATAATAATAATAATAATAATAATAATAATAATAATAATAACAGCAACAACAATAATAATGTTCTGTATCATTATTGTTTTGTCATTTTACTTACTATTTTTTGGTGTTTTCGAATTTCTGGTTATGCTTAAAAGACAGTTCAGAGTTATCTTGTCTGGCTCGTCAGATCTTGGCATTTGTCAGTTAACTTGTACGAACAGAATCCAGGGACCAGAATGATTCGTGATGTTTGGTTTGTATACATTTTTTTTAATTCCATGTAAGTGTGGTTATTTGCAGGTAATGAGGGGCGTGAGTATGTGTTAAGGCGCATCCTTCGGCGGGCTGTGAGATATGGAACCGAAGTCCTAAAAGCACAACAAGGCTTCTTCCATGGGTATGAGTTCACCCACTTATGCTTTGTTATTTCCTAATGTACTGTATTTACGCATACCTGGCAATCATCTGGGCAGTTATTGCATATGCATCCTATTATCCCCTTTTGTAACAGTGGTCTGTTCGTATTTAAGTTTTTGGTTTATAATCGATGGTACTGTTATTGTTTTATATTTGTTAATACTATAAGCAGGTTGGTACAAGTTGTGCTGGAGGTCATGGGTGATGACTTCCCTGAGCTAAAGGAACATGCATTGAAGATTCGAGAGATTATTGCTGATGAAGAGACCAGCTTTGGCAGGACATTGACAAAAGTATGTGGTGATCTCCCCTGGATTATATAAGCTTAATTTTGGACATTGCTTGAAAATTAGTTTATGCTTATTTTGAGTAAGAATACACGGGTGTTAATTGAAGTTCTATAGTTAAAAAGTAAAAATAAAAAATTATTTAAGTTTTCAAATACTTTTTGTTAAAAATATTTTTTATTTACTTAAATTTTACACTCATTATCTGTAAAATTTGCTCGTCCCATTTTATAATACTCATATTTAGGTGTGAGCATCGGTGCACTTCAACTGAACCGCACCGCAAAAAACCGAAAACCAAAAATATGAAATTTGTACACTGAACCCCGCCGCAAGAAAAAAAAAAAACAGAACCGAACCAAATCGAAATTGGTTTGGTTCGGTTTTTCTACTAACCGCAATTAAGAAAGGCAAAAACACAAATTGGGGAGATAAGGAATTAGAGAGTAGAAGCCAAAGATAGATATTAGAGAGTAGAGAGCAAACCTGAATAGGGATATGAGCAAGCGGCGGAAGTCGATGGGGGTGATGGTCGGAGCTTCGGAGGCCGATGCGGCGAGAGCGGCGCACCGGTGGGGAGATGAGAAAGCGCTGGAGCGGCGAGAGTGAACTGGGAGTGGGAAGTGGGCTAGGTAGGGTCCGTAATTTCTGGAGCAAAGCACTGAATTTCTTATTTCTGATCGGAGCTTCGGAGGCCGGTGTGGCAAGAGCGGCGCGCCAGTGGGGAGATGAACAAGCGCAGGAGCAACAAAAGTGAACGGGGAGTGGGAAGTCGGATAGGGTTTGTGATTTCTTATTTCTGAAGCAGTGGTGAATGATTTTACGGTAAAATCGTGTAAGACTTTATGTTGATATGCTAGTTACTTTATTTGACACTTAAAAGTTTCAAAACCGCACCCCTCATACTCCCAACCGAATTTCACCGATTTTTTTTTTGTGATTTTCTAAAATTTAACACGCACCGAAACTTTTAATAACTGAATCGAACCGCACCGCTCTGCACCAAACGCACTGGTTCGGTTCGGTTTTCCTCGGTTTTGCTCACCCCTACTCATATCATATAATATTCTTGATAGATAATTTAATTAATAATTCATATTTTTTATTTCTTTTCAATTAGGATATATTAGATGATTTACATTTTATTTATAAAGGTAGATGTATTTTTTTATATATGCAGTATGAATATCAATTCATTAATTTGATATATCATGTTATATTTTGGTTAAAATAAAATTAAATTGTAACATGCGTTACACTTTACACATTTCACTCATGGGTGTAAGATGAGTTTCACGAAGGTTGAAACTTATTGGTTTAATTTGTTAAACATAAGTTTCATTTCAAGTTTAATTTTTGTTCATTAAATAAGATGTAAATAAGTTCTTATACATTTGTAGCCACACGGCAAGTGACATCTATATATATACTTTTGTTCTTTGTGAAATCTTATGAAGAAAAAGTGATAAGGTTTGATCTCTTAAAACACATTTCCATTTTGTGTGTTTCCTAAAGATTTCCAAAAGAGGGAGGAAATAGAGTTTTTGGACAACGTTCCAAACAACTTGTTTGAGCCTTTATACTATTTTATAATAAGTGTTAAATATTGAATAAAGAAAATTTGAGTTCTGTTGACTGTCTCTTTCTCTATTGTTCGCTATTTTTTCCAACATATCATATATAAAAAATCAGTAAGAGATAAAAAAGTTATTTAAATTTAAAATATATTTATAATTTAAGTTGATCATGTTCTATTAATTCTAAAACTCCTAATAGGCATGGTAAAAGTCCATATCTACATGGAATACTCCGAAGTACCAGAATTTGATACATAGGATTGCTAAGCACCAGAAATCGACACATAGATATGAATCACCAGAAAAGGAGGGATGTGTCATGAATTCTGCTGAGTTAGTACTTTCTGTAGCTTGTTTGTCAGGGTGTCAATCAATGTCATTTATGACAGATGGCGGCAGGCCACAATCCCGCCACAGCAGCCTATGGTGGCGCCATAACCGCCATCCTTCACAAATTTAGCATGCTGTGGCGGCCTATGGCACCGCCATCACTGCCATCCTTTTCTCAAATTTAGCATGTCGGTTTGTAAAAATTATCCATGCTATCTATGGCGCTGCCATTGGCTCCATTTGATAACACTGGTGCCAATTATCTCATACTAGTTAGTATAAAGAAAAATCCATCCGAGTTAGATTCAAGAAAAGAAAGTCGTATGAGAGTAAAGATAACAATTTATCGTTTGACCTGTCCAGTTTGATTGGTAATATCAAATTTCAGTGAATCGAATATTTATGAAGTATGCTGCCTTTGATGTCAAAATATTATGTTTTCTCTGAACTCTTATTGGAAGAATATACTCGCCAAGACAAAAATATTGGAAACAGTTTTGTTAAATATATGCGTACAATTAACTGTGGAATATTTCTTTTTTCTCTTTGGATTATATGGGCATATAATCTACTACAAACGAATTAAAAGTCTTTCACCACTCTTTGCATCGGGCCCGTCAGTTTTGTTTTAGATTTATTAAGTGAATTACTTGCTCTGAATTTAACGAATCCAATGTCTTTTACTTTCAGGGAATTGAGAAATTTAAGAAGGCTGCTCAAGAAGTTCAGGGGAGAGTAATAAGTGGACAGGCATGTGATAGCTAGATCTCTGTTTAGATTTATTTGTTGTATCATATGTGTTGCATTTGTTCTGCTGTCTGATCTACTGGCAATACCAGCTCTCATGTCCCAACACATCAGTATCATATGTAGACACAGGCAATTGTCAACTGCATTAGATAGTCAGTTGGAGAGTTGGTCATAATCACGTATTATGACGTTTCATTTGTGTTGATAAGCTTTGTTATGCTCTTAAAACCAATTTGATAAATAAAGAGGTAGAGGACGTATTAGATATATTGACCATTTGTTTACATGATTTGTTGCAAACCCCTCCTTTGAAGCCTGATTACAAAGCCAACATTGTGGAATGTCTTAATGCAAGAAAAACAAAAAATTACTTGGTATTGGAAAACACCAGTTAAGAAACAACATTTGTGGGCTATGGAGTTGCTCGATATTTGTTCCCAACTCACAACCTTCGCTATCTTTTTCAACTTAGCTCAACCTTTTGTTTGGTTGAAAAGGTTGTAATTTCTGTTGCAAAATTATGAATCCCATGATATTCATTGTAGTCTGTTTTTAATTGCTGAGTTTGCATGTCTGTGGTTTTATATAGCACTTTCTTTCCGCCTTTTATTAAAGCGTATCATCTAATTGTAGGATGCGTTTGACCTATGGGACACCTATGGGTTTCCGTTGGATCTAACTCAGGTGACCGCTTCAATTCCTGCATGAAATCTAACTTTGTTGTTCTGAATATACAATGACAACTTAAGTCTGTCAGCTGATGGCGGACGAAAGAGGATTGACCGTTGATGTTAAAGGCTTCAATATTGCTATGCATAAAGCCAGGGAAAGATCCAGGAACGCGCAGAATAAGGTGATGAGTTATCTAACTGCAGATGTTAGACAATCTGCAACTTCCAAAAATCTTATCATTCTTAATGTATCAATCATGTTGTTTATTTCAATAGTACTTTTAGTATATATTATGTGTTTCCTGTGCCTATGCGCATGCTTAAATCTTTATGGTTACGTTTGTCTTAGCAAGCTGGTGGTACCATTGGCATGGATGCGGATGCTACAGCTTCATTGCACAAGAAAGGAGTTGCTGTGACGGATGACTCATTCAAATATACTTGGTTTCAGGTTTGTTGCTTGGTGGACATTTTTTTTTTTTTTTGAATTTCTGTAGGATTAAACATCTTGCTGAGGTGTGTTGTATACGTTTGGTTTATTGTGTTATTATTCGAAATGTGATACTTGAGAAATATCACAGCACAAATTCAGCTCCCAATCTGCCCGATGTGGTTAAGCATAAATCATACGAGTATATGCTATAACATTGCCACCCACTTGTCCGAGTCTCCAAAGGTGAATGAGTGTCAGAAAGTTTATTGTTACTGTTGATAACCCAAAGTATAAAATTTGTTCACAAGTGACAAAACCCATGTGGCAGTTGCTTTTTTTCTTCCACCCATTATATTTATACTTATATCAGTAGAAATTGTATTTGTGGATGTAGCCGTTTTTTTCTGTAGATTTTCCATAATAGAGTAAGATTAGATTTTGCCTGCTCTAGTAGCATACAAGTTTATTCTCAAGTTTATGCTTGCTGATGTTCTGATTCTCCCAATGATTATAGGATCATGCGAGTGTAATAAAAGCTGTTTACACAGGAAGTGAATTCCTGGAAAGTGCTTCTCCTGGTGAAGAAGTTGGCATAATCCTTGAAACCACTAGCTTTTATGCTGAGCAAGGTGGTCAGGTAGACATTTACCATGGTATTAATCTGCAGAGTGTCTGGTTTTAATCTATATATTTAACTTGGCGTGACGAATTTTAAGCTCTGCCGCCATATTATGGCCGCCTTGTGGCGGCTTTGCAATGGTGGTCGCTAAGTCCATAGTGTCCACAGAGGTGTGGCGTTGATTGTGGAAAAAATTGCCTTAAAATAAAAGAGAATGCTAGTGGGTGAGCCCAAATTTGCCAAAGTCAGCCCAGATCTGTAACATATCTGATCTGAAAAATTACAGAAAACACCTGCAAAAAGAGAGAGAAGAGCCACCCTTCAGCGGCCCAACTTCCAGTGACCATTATTTTTGTTATTCTTTCTCTCTCCCTCCATCTCTTTTTTTTTTTTTTTTTTTTT